TCTCTCACTCCCTTCTGGTCTCTGTTCAAAGGTCATCTCCTGGGGGAGTCTTGCCCTCACTATTCTGAACTGATAAGAGCCCCCTAATGTCACATCCTTATCCCTCTTTTGCCCTGGTTTTGGTCCATTTCCTGCTGTAATATAAACTGCCTGAGGGCAGGGGCCTTGTTCCTTGGGTTCACCGCTCCATTCCCAGCACCTAGGACAGTGCCTGACCCAAGGCAGCCCTCTGGTAAATCACATGAAATGAAGGAACCATGAATTCCGTTCACTGCCATTTACCCTAACACATAGTAGTTGCTTAATTTAAAAAAAAAATTAAACAAAGGACAAACAGAAGGCCAGCTTCATGGAGGAATAAACTTTGAGTGGAGACAGAGCACATTTTGTATTAGAGTAGGTGAAAAAAATTCTAACTTGGCAAAAAAACTCCCTAACTGGCCCCATTTTTGAGTATGGGCTGGGAGCCCCTGAACTCCCAATTTCACATATGCTTTTTGCATATCTGTAAATGAAAACCAAAGCCAAAGGACAGTGCTCCAGAGCTCAGCACAGTAAAAAGTCCCCGCTTGCAGAGTTCCACGGTCAGGCATTATTCCACCCTGGAGCACCAGGGCCACCGTCCAACACAAGCCAAAGCCTCTGGTGGAAAGGGCCATCCCAGCTACTCGTGGTCTCCAGAACAGGAGGGTGCCACCCAAGTCCCAGCTAAAAGCTCAGCCTGGCTTCAGAGCAGATTTTAGTGCTGTTCGCCTCCCCGCACTCTACTCACCTACTTCTGCTTTATTTAGAGAAATATGGCCATTTGTTCCAATTATCTGAGCTCACGCTGTCTGAGGGCAGAGGAGGGCAGCCCAGAGCCTGGACAGAGACAGCTGGGGACATGCGTGGGCTGCAGACCATGCCAGATGTCCTGGAGCAAATTCCACCGTGCTGCACACTCTCAAATCACCCACCCCCTGCCTTTTAGCCACCAGCCTTAGAACCACCAAATGCTTTGCCTAAGCAAATTTCTCTGCTCCCTGCTCCTCATCCATGTCCATGGAAGCAGCCAAGCAAATCCAGAATTAGACAGGCAAGATGGTGACAGCCAGGGGTTCC